GCAGATAAACTGTAGAGAATATTTCTCCTTCTTCTGTTCTGGTGCAGAAATATTTTCTCATTCAATTTTTTTTATTGAAAGTTCACAACTTCCTCAAGCATTCAAAGTAAACAAATAACTAAATTTTATTGTTAAGTTCCTGTTTTCCTATTAATTTCAATTGGCAGCTTATTACTTACTAAAACGTGCTAAGTAAGCAATCTAAATATAGGATTATGTTGTTTATAGGTCAACAGAGAAAGAAGAGAATTAATTTAAGGCTTCTATCAAATGATCTATCGCACACAAATTCAATGCACACAATTTAAGTACTTCATAATCAATCAAGAAGCCATAGGCTGCACCATTACAGTAGGTATAAATACTTATCAATCCTCTGATATTATTGTTTAGATAGTAATGGAGCTCTAACTTCATGATTATTCTGCTTGTCTTCCAATCCCAGAGTCCAAGGTCTTAATCCCTCTACGAATGTCAGGATTATTTTCTCACAACTAACAAAACCACCACCAACCTCCAACCCCCGTAATTATACTTATTATGCGATTCACACAAGATTACACATTCTGTGCTAGGAAAAATTTATTGCACATTCCCTGCTCAATTGTATTCATGTGAATGCCCACCTCCCATGTAATATCCATGTAAGAAACACAGATATCGAGGAGGCCTGTAACACTCTTGTGAAATTTAGCATGGTTCTTTGCATGCTCACTGGATGTAACTTACCATTCCCTGTGGAGTTAAGTGAATTGTGAACACCAATTGTGTAGCAATTGTACCGACTTATTTTTAAAAAGTTTTAGTTCATCATGTGAATAATAACCCTTAGTACTGTACGTGTCTGTGTAAAATTACGTCTGAAAGTTTGTATCATATTATTGAAAAAATTAAGAAGACCCCTGAATCTCAGCCGACCTATCAGGCTTATCTTGAAGGGACATGGCTATCAAATATGATTCAAATAAAATATATCGTTTACCTTCATAGCTTTCCTGAGTTGGTAAGCATCAAACAATGCAGGTAACTGCAGTAACCCTAGCACAACATCCTCAAACTTTCCCTTTATTTCTCCTTTCAGGTTGCTGATAAGATCCTGCAGAGATAAAATTCAGCCAGAAAATTACTTAATTATACACACCCACAGGAGGTCCGATGTCCCTGACGACAGGAAAGTGGGAGTGGTCGGTGTTGCTCAAAATCTTTCAAAAGTGGTCAAAGGGGGCCAAAAAATATAAAAATTTAAGGGGTTTCAAAGGCTTATTTAATAAAATTTAGAGTCTACTAATATGTAGAAAATACATATATATTTTGTGGTTGTGGTTTTTGTCCCCGACAGGAGCCCTTGGCCCCTGACCCCAATGTTGGCGCCACCTCTGCCGTTCATCATATACATAGCCTGCGTATTGTTCGGCATTTAGGCATAGGGCAGAGGTATGCACTCTTTGGAATGACTGCTGTAGTTTACTCATTGCTCATATAACAATTATTACCTTTCCATACATTGTCTTGTAATCAAGGATGATCTTCTGACGTTGTTTGTTGGAGCAACTTGTTAGTACATCAATAATGGCCTTTTCATCAGTGCCTAAAATTTTTTTAAACAGAAAATTGAGGTTGATATAGCTCTTGTCTCCTTCGTGGAAATGTGAGGTAGTATTGACAGTGATGATGGTAATTATGATGAGGATAATTACTCTCATGAAGAATTTGACGATGTAGATGTTGATGAGGAAGATGGCAATGATGTTGATAATGATGAAGGTTCTGATACGGACAATAGATCTTTCAAGAGTGTGAATCAAACTGAAAAACTGACCAATCAAAAAAGAGCTAGGAAAAAACAACTGACCAATCAAAAAAGAGTTTTGTGGGACCTTAGCAACAATATCCAAGGGGCCGAGCTTAGCAGAAAGGTCAATTATGGTGACTTTGATAAAAATTAAGAGGAACTTGATGATGATGATGATGATGATGAGGATGATGATGATAATGATGATTTTTGAATTACCAATTCCCTTCATGGCCTTGCGCAAAATTTCAGCCTCCTTGTGGCCATCGAATCCAGGTTTATCCTTGCAAACACCGGTTCCCTGAGAACATACAAAAAAGAAATTTTCAATTTCATAGTTTTGGAAATAGCGGTCAATTTACGCCTTACATTACAAACAATCTTCTTTGGTAAAATTCTCTTAACTACTTGTAGAAGCGGTTGGTGCATCGGTTTTGGCTTGGACTCCTAATGTTGAGGTCAAATATTGAAATTCTTGCTGTGCAAGGCACTTTATCTACGCTTGTCTCTCTCTACCCAGGAGTATAAATGGGTACCTGGTGGTATAATTAACGTTGTGGCATAGATTGTACTAGTTTTGTGCGCTGAGTACAAGCGCACGACTAGGTATACTCCCCCTAGGGTGCAAGGAAATTTGCATTTTGTGCTGGTTTGTCGTATGTTATCCAGTGATCAGGGGTAATAACACTTAGCGCCTTTATTCATTCATTTGGAATTGGCACTATATAAATATTTGGCATTATTATTATAGTCCCCTCACTTATAAAAATACAAAATAATAAAATAATGCACATTATTACTGTAAATACAAGAAGGTATATATCTTACTCTGTATTGGTACATGTCACTGATTTTCATATTAGCCATCTGCTGGGCTGGAGCATGGCTGGGTGCTTGACTAGGTGCTTGGTATTGCTGAGTTGGAGGTTGGCTTGGTGGCTGGTACTGCAAAGACAAAAATAACTACATTTTAAAAA